AACTCCCCCTCCCAACCTCAAAGTTTCTACACCTGTTTTCCTAACCCTGGATATTTGGTGACCTCCACCTCCCAGAATCCCCCAGCCAGCCTTGCTGGCTGGGGAATTCTGGGAGTTGAAGTCCATATATCTTAGAGTTGCCAAGGTTGAGAAACACTGGTCTAGAATCTTAGAGTTGGAAGGGAGTACTTAGTTGGCTGAGCCCAACCCTTTGCTTGGTGCAGGACTCCAGCTGAAAGCATCCCTGATCGTATACATTTCTTGCCCACCGTTATACACAACGGTGAAAGAAGACACTAAGTGCTTAGTCATTATTAATGCAAGAGAAAGATGGCTGACTAACTTCTGCTTGAACACATCCAAGGTATAGAACTCACCATTTTCTGGGTAATACCTTTGTGTGCAGAGCTCAAGGAGGATGAAATAATAAATTGGTACAAAGCATTCCATTGAAGGGGTTGATTGCCAATGGAGCTTCTAAGCTTCTTACATACACAAACACATACCCCCCCCCCAAAAAAACCGGATCCTGGTACATCTGTTAACCATGATGAAGAATATTGCCAGGATAGCACCTCCATGCTGAGCGGTACCCAGCCTCTTGATATTCCCTTAGGATGAAGAATTGCAGCTGACCAAACTCAGGTGTTTGAAGTCTCAATATCTCTCCACATCTCATGGACCCTTCTACTAAAGCTCTTCTCCCAGTCCAAGGGTCTAGAACGGACACAAAAAATAGAATAAAGAGTTAGAAAATGTTGCTTTTACAAATGAGCGAGTTTGTAAAAGAATTATTTTAAGATGCATTGAACCCAACGAAAGATTCACTTTCAAGTCATTTGGATTTCTCAAGGATGTAGAGTAAGGGCTGGATTTCATTGTCAATATGCTGAAAATATAAAATGAAGGAAGGATCACAGAAAACACAGAGGAAAGATGACCGATACATACATGTGCAGTCAAGGTTCACTTTGTTGTTTAAGGATTTCATTTACTTACTTGCAAATTGTGAAAGGGACTAATCTGAACTGTAGTTTCAGAGCTGAGATGTGGACGTCATTCATCAGAGTTCTTAAAATTTCCACTCAGATGTTGACTCAAAAACATACCAAAATATATTATAAAATGCATAATGCAAGAGAGAATATGTTTAGAAATGTGTATTTCGATATTATTTTAATGCACTTTGTTTTAACAAATCACTTTAATGTGGAAATATGAATATAATAAGGGAAGTATGAAGCAGGAAGTCACTGGATTCACTTTTTAACTGATTTGCCTGTTCAGTTTTGACTTATCTAGTTTTTGCTTTAAGCAGAATAAAATGGACTTCTTCACCAGTATTTGCACTCTTGTGATGCAGTTTTAAAAAGGAAAAAAAAACCACCTTCATAATAGGATTGGTGTCTTAGGAGAAATGGATATAAATGGATATAAAGATTGCACTGACCTTTTTTTAAAAACAAACACAAACTGGGATGGCCAGTGTGAATCTGAGTTTGGAAAAATTATAAGCAGAAAGTGATTCAGACACCTATGCTCCCACACCCACAAATACACATTATATTTATGTGCCCAGGGAATCAGACTTTTACAGCAAGAAAAGTCAAAGTTTAGATGACCTTGGTTGAATTGGATCACGAGGCTGAGCGAAAGGGAGTAGACCTTAACGTTCCTCATTTGGGCTCTTTTCATGCAGAGAGAAAAGCGCTGGAGCGTCTCTTCAGGAAGTGGCGAAAAGAATATGACCAGCGTAAGTACTTTTTGAGGAGAGAGAAAAGAAATATGCACCAGGCAAGAGGATATTTAGGCTTTAAAAAAAAAGGAAGAAAAGACACCCTCAAGTCAAACTCAATTCCTGCCGGCTTCAGCCAGGCAGTTTTCTTGGCAGTATGACAAAAGTAATTAACCATTTGCCTGGCAGGCTCTTTTCACACATGGCTCCCCTGCTATAAAGATTTTCACCATAGTTCGCTTCGTGCAATGAGTGAAGCCAACCATTGAATAACTTCCCTGAACCATAGTTCAATGACTCTTGCCTTGTATGACCCCAGCCCTACCTGATGTTTGGGTGTCACGAAGGTGGGGCTTTTCGCCCAAAGCACATTGGGCATCTTCCGTTGGAGCCCTGGGGGTTATAGATGGGTTAGTTTCCTCCCTGAGTCTCCTTCCTCTTCCCCTTCTTCAGCAAGAGGTCACGAGCCCAGAGAGCCAGCAACAGAAGCAAAAGTCTTGGAGCACCTTCAAGGCCATGACGCTGAGCTCCCTGCCCCCCAAGCCACGGGAGAAGCTGGAGCTGCACTCGGCCGACTGGGAAAAGCATTGCATGAGCCTGGATCTGTCGGAGGGCGACTTCCAAACAGAAGTGTGAGCCTCATGGACTCTGTGATTTAGCAACCTATAAATATATATAAATATAAATATATATATATATATATATTTTTCACACTGACACTTTGGAAAAATCAAGCAAATCAGGACAGACAAGAGTTTCTTCCCCTTCTGGCATTTTTCCGGGGAGACTTTTTTTTAAACTCGGCCCTCTCTTTAAACACACCTCAAGGAGGAAGGCCAGGAGCACCACGGACGCTGTGCCCCTTCCCCAGTGGCCAAGAAGGCCCGGCGCCGCTCCCCTTCACCCACACCCTTCTCCGCCC